CCCCCCCACACACACACACACAAATTAAGTATTTTCTTGTAGTGAGTCTTCGCACTCTCTAAAAAATTCTTAAACGAGGTTGTCTTTACAAGGTACGTTTTAAAACAAAAAGATCTGTCTAGAAATATTATTGTCTTCCGCTGCGTGTTACGAATATTTGTATGCAATCTCATACCTTCTATATTCAAGGATGTTTTAGATTCTCAAACTCTGTTTTGCTTTGTAAATATATGTGATGTTTAAATATCATTTTAGATGTCACGAACATTAGTGCTACCATTTTAAAGTTCATTGTAATATTAATTAATAACCAAAGACACAAAAGAGAATCTACATTTTTTTAAAGGAAAAATAATACTTTTTTCCTGGAATTTTTATATGAAGAGATACTTGATAAAAAATTTAATTGTTTTAGAGAAAATACTATATAGAAAGATAAGTTTGATCAAAGGCCAAATATTTGAATATAAAATTTTATCTATTCTTGAAAATTTGATTAAGGTAACAAACTCAAAGACATATCAAAGTTAAAGCTTTTTGTGAATGATGATAATAGTTCATTACTTACAATTAAATAAAAGGTGCATTTAAAAATTTTGATATAATTATTAGGCAAGTAAAATAACTGAGACTATCTTATTTTTATTGTACTAATATTTAGGTGTTAGCTTATAGTGATATTTGAATTCAACTAGAATTATGTTCACTTAAAATTTTGATAAATCAGTGATGGATTATATCTCTTAATATTCAAATCGGAAAAAGGCCATATATGCCAGTGAACTATGCGAATTAGGATAGATATGTCCGTCGTTAATAGTTTGGCACATATATACCCAATTCGTCCAATACTTGCTCATTCATGCCCTTAGTTTAACGAAACTACTATTTTCTCTTTCTTAAATAATTAATAACCGGACCCAACCAAAATCTGCTGACCCGATCCGTTAGAACCCGACCCACCCTTATTTCAAAGATATTTTTTGATATATTATTTTTGTTTGATTGAGAAATTGTGTGATAATCATATTTATTTATTTGAGTAATTTGATAATCGATTTTTCATACATCATTTCGGAAAGTAATCCTACTAAAAGCAGTAATTGATATTTATTTATTATTTTAATAATATAATATTCGAATTAATTTTTGTTTTCTTCAACTATTTTACCATCTATTTTTATTTAGCTATAGTTTTCTTTTTCTCTTTCTTTCTTTCTTTCTTTCTTTATTTCTTTCTTTCTTTTTGGGAGGTTGTTGATCATTTTTTTTATGGTTTTCAGATTTCTAAAAAGAAATGTATCACCATAACCTTGCAATTATAATTATTCAATACATGTCTCTCTTTTATTGGAAACAGCTGGTACGGAGTTACTTAAGAAAGTACTACATCAGCTCGTGGACACTGTTGATTAGGTTGTGAGATTTAATCTGTAAAATCATTACATTTTATACTTAAACTAAGAAAGAATGAGTACTGCACACGTAGGTTTATATATAAATTAATTATAGAAATAAATTATGGAGAAATTAGAAGAAAGCACAACCTAATTCGAATATTAAATTATTAAAATAATAAATAAATATCAATTACTACTTTTAGTAGGATTACTTTCCGAAATGATGTATAACAAAAAAAATCGATTATCAAATAAATAAATATGATTATCACACAATTTCTAAATCAAACAAAAATAATTTATCAAAAAATATCTTTGAAATAAGGGTGGGTAGGGTCCTAATGGATCGGGTCAGCAGATTTTGGTTGGGTCCGGTTATTAATTATTTAAGAACGAAGAATAGTGATTTCGTTAAACTAAGGGCATGAATGAGCAAATATTAGACGGATTAGGCATATCTGTGTCAAACTATTAACGATGGACATATATGTCCTAATTCGCATAGTTCACTAGCATATATGATCCTTTCCCGTATTCAAATTGATTATGAATTTAAGTTGGCATTCTAGTGAGCCGCAAAGGAAGAAGCTATAGGTTGAACAAAATCTAAGTTAAATATATGTGTTATCGAATATATTTTTATACAATATTTTATTTTATTTTATTTTAGAATTTCTCCTATCAGTATTCGCATTATATGTATGAAAATTTCTATATGGCAGAATTTCTTCCTTTATTGATATATCAAAATACAATCAACATTAATTTTTTTTAAGAACTCATACTTTTTAATTTTATTTTTTTTAACTATAATACATTATTTAATAATATTCTTTTAATTGTATGCTCATTGATATATATACACACGCAAAGAGCATTGTGAAATGTCATTCGCATTTTTAAATTAAAAAAATTATATAATTTTAGAAAAAATTATATTATCGAGATAAAATACATGCGCAACACGTATATCGGTTGGCAGATATATATAAGAAGCATTGAAGCGATATATATAAGTCTAGCAAAACAATAAATAAGAAATGCTCACATGAAAAGATATATATAAAGAGAGAATTGAGAAAGAAACGGAAAACGGTTGGCAGATAAATGGCGCCAAAAGTAAAGAAAGAAAATTCTTTTCTCTCCCCATTCTATTCCATCCATTTCTTCTTCTTCCTCCTTCACTTTCTCTTTTTCTTCCCTCTGCAAATTTCAACCTTTTTACCATGTCTGTGAAGCTCCATATTCCCTCTACATAATATACTTAGGGTACTATGACGATAATGTGCTAACCTTAGTGTTGGAATTTCCTAATGTACATTAATGATAATGTTACCCTTAGAATTCCCTTAACACATGTCAGAGACGAATCCAGAATCTAAAATTCGTAAGTATATCATTTAATTAATATTTGCTTCTAAAATTTTTTTCACCTTTTCTGTTTTTATCTTTATTGCATGGACATCAAGTGTTTTTTTTTTTTTTTTTTTTTTTTATACTAAAATTGTGGAATTAGTTATCCCATATAGAAGGTGGGATAACTAATCCCATGGGATATCCAACCACATGGGATATCATGGGATATCCCACCATTGTAACAAAGACCTGGTAAAGGAAACTATTCNATTCGTGCTGCGTAGAACTAGTTAAGAGAAAAGTGCTTCCTTTCAGGAATTTCTCCATTCCCAGGCTCAAATGGGAGGTCTCCGGTAAAGATATCAGAGGCGGGCCCAAAATTCGATAGTCACGGGGACACCATTATATTCAATATTAATTTATCACTACTCATAGAGATTGGTACGGGGGCATTGTTAATATTTGACTATTTTTTGAAAGTTTTTATCGAATTTTTCGGGTGCCGGTGACCCTCTGCCTACAATGTAGGTTCGCCTACCATTTTGATGCATTTTGTTGAGATGCACATACGATGAAATTTAGAGGTGAAACTCATTTTACAGATCTTACTATATGATAATTGCATGGGAGTTGTATGAAATGGGAAAAGTTTGGTCAAAATTTGATGCCATGTTACCCTAAATATGAATTGGAAAATTTAAAGATGCAATTCATTTTATAGATCTTGCTCCATGTATTTGTATGGTATGGGGGTTTCGTGTAAAGGAAAGTGTTTGAATGAATCTCATGTGATTTTACCCTTGAATATATATCTTTGATTTTAACAAAGGCAATTCACTATTTGCTGCTATTCATTTCTTTTCCTTTTGCCACTTCTCTTTTTCTTTCTAAGTTTTTACATTGATGCATCATGAATTCATATTTGAAATGGGGAATTTCTTTTCGTAAAAAAGGTCCATTATTTAGTTAATTTTCTTAGAAATGGAGTCTTGGAGCAACGGTAAAGCTAACTCCATGCAGCCACCAAAGGATGTGGTGCAGCTGATGGGACTACTCTTCCCTTAATTAGAGGTTTCGAGTTCGAGCCATGGGTATGGAAAAATCCGTGGTATGGCGCGCTACCCCCCAATTGGGGCCCTACCTGGCGCGAATCCGGATGTAGTCGGGCTCCAATGTGGGTACCGGACACCGGGTGGAAAACCAAAAAAAAAAAAAGTTGTCTCCATGTGACCTATAGGTCACGTGTTCGAACTATGAAAGCAGCCACTAAAACTTGCATTAGGGTAGGCTGGCTACATCACACCCTTAGGGTGCGGCCCTTCTCCAGAACCAGCGTCAACGTGGAATACTTTGTGCACTGGCTGCATTTTTTTTCTTTTGGTTGATCTATTGGTTTTGGCTAAATTGGCTTCTTATATGTGGTTCAGGTATTGGAAGCAGGAAGATTATAATTTGATTAAGTAGTAAACAAGATTTTACTATATGGGAAAGAGCTTGAAACATCAAGATCCTAGTATTAGTCCAGAAAATCCTAAGGGATGCATGTGGGGAATACTTCACAATTTGAATCACAACCGATGGCAACAAGTCAGGAAACACCTTCCACATAAAAGGCAGGGCTGTGGAAAGCAGATTGCTGGTAAGAAAGAAATAAAGAAACCAAAAATAAATTAATTTTTCATAATATAGTTTTCCAGTTCTACATTATGATAATTAATCTCTTAAGCATATCATGTTAGTTGCTCAGTTTATTGTCTTTATTACTAAAGCTTTTCAGCTAAAAGGAGAGTTGGTTTGTGTACAACTACTATAGGTTTAATGTTGGATTGAATAACTATTAGGGATCGTTTGGTTTGATGTATATTTAGCAAGAAATAATTATGGTACAAAGTGCAATTAAGAAAATAAAAAGGAGCCCATTTATTGTTGCCGATATAAAGGCTGCTTTGTACGACGATGTTCATGCTCCTTGCGCAGTAGGGTTCTTAGTGATTAAGACGGGTGAAGATCTTGCTTCCAAGTCTGAATACTATATTGAAACATATTTAAGTGAAGATAACAATTTCTCAATATTAGATTTCCAAAAAAGTTGTACTAATAGTTATAAAATGTTTGGTTTACTTTTCTATTCATGTATGGTTAATCCTTGTATAAAGTTATACACCAAATTTGTTATAACTTTATACCACTATCAACATTAGAATAACTAATTTATGTGTAACTTGTACATGGATAAGCATTAAAAGGACGAAACTATCCTTGTCTTTTTTTCTAGAAGCCTTAAGTGAAGCATCCAAGGGTATAATTGAAACTCACTGTCTACATCACACTCCTTAGAGTGAAGCCCTTCTCCCGAACCTACGTGAATGGGATGCCTTGTGCACCGGGCTGCCCTTTTATTAAACGATATCTTGCATATCCAATTTTTGTGAACCAAACGCCCAACAGGAAATAATTTGTGCATTGCTATTCCTGCATTATAATCCAAGTATAACTTGTTTCCGAACCATACGAAGTTCCTGCATTAACTATTTTCTCTTTTCCAGTGGTTGAAGATGTAGGGGATAATGCAACAACTACTGATTCTGGTGATATGCAAGAAAGAGTAGAAGGCAGATTGGAGAATTCCTCTGTAAGCTTACAAGATAGTATGAGTGAACTTGCTAACAGCTTTTGTATTTTTCTGCTGTTGTTCTTTTCTAACTTCTTGCTACATTATGTACATTTGTGCACTAACTGACTATGTCATCAACCATAATGTTTCAGATTGTAGCGAAAACTATAGAGCCTGTTCAAGTGTCCAAAAGTTCGATGTTATCGCGGATAAGATCTTTGATTACTGAAGAGACAACTAAGAAAAAGGGTAGGCATCGCAGAAGCTCATCGTGTCCTATACAGCTCGAACGAACTAATTCTATTCATCATCTAGATCTTGCTGATCTACAATCTTCTCATGAAATTCCCTTAAGTGACAAGACTTTGGAGAAGGAGAATTATTCTGTTGCCAGTCTATTAGACCCTCCGACAAAAAAGACACGCGAGCCTATTGAATCAGAAAACATGAGAAAGGACTTATCTTCACTGCAGCTACATAGCACTCAGGCTTCCAAATCAAGGTTTGACTTTATCAAGTCGGTTTCGTTTCCTTCACGTGGATCACGGGGAAGAAGATCTGCTAGGTCAAGGAATCATAAGAACAAGTTGGAATGTGACTATCATGCAAAAGGGGAAAATGAGTCCGGTTTTGCAGAACAATTGAATAGCCATTCAGTGACATCAACAGATTTGAGTAGCGAAGATGATGATGTTGGACAACATGTGGTGAAAAGACTTGAATCATTTAACAACGTCTCTCCACGTTCACCTCATGCAGAAAAGAAACATCACGAGAGTAAACTCATCCTCGATCGTTTTAAGAATCTACGGAGAAAAATAAGGCACGCAATTAAGGAGAGTAGAAAGGACAGGCGAATTATCATGGATGCTGTCCTTCATAAGGTTCCACACGGTCGTGGATCATCCAAAAAGGGAAACAATATAGTTGAGGAGAAAACTACAGATAGACATGTGAAATACTTCCCGGGAAGTACTTGTACTCATTGCAGTTCTCCGTTTAGCAAGAGTGAAATGAAATATTTTAGGAGAACATCATCTGTCAATGAATCATTGGACAGATATAATCAATTACTTGACACCTGCTTCTATAGGGAAGAAAAACAGAATTTTTTTGATAGGTCGAGTTTTAGAGCATCTCGATCACCTTCACCAGCTAGAAGTAGAAGCCCTATAGGCAGCCTAGAGAGAATTCTTTCTATGCCTGATCTCAGGTATTACTCTTCTTTCAAATTTGACGACTCTCCTGAACCCGGTTACTCATCATATAAACTAGCTAGAGCTGCATCGAGCAACAACATAAGTGTCGGAAGTACCAAGTCCAACGAACAGAAGTCCTTCAATATCCCTTTAGGTTCAGAAAACCAAACTGAAGAAGGTTACTATTCGGATTCCAAGAGTACAATTTTTCTTGATGTCAATGAGACGTTTGATGATTTTGGTGGCTTAAAGACAGACGAGACCTCTTCCTCGGTTGAAAATGTTAATGGAGTCACTTCATCTCTTAATTCAACATTAGATAAATCAATTCCTCTTCCGGATATTATTTTTCAGAATGCTACTAGCCCAGCTAATCTCTCAGCATCTCAAGGTATCTTATCCGAAACAATCTCTACATTCTTCTTTATATTTTCCATTTTTTTTGAGCCATCAATGTATAATTTACCCTGCTTAGTCATTGGCTAACAAACATTATAATGTTGATTGTTGACTAATATTCTACAGGTGCAGAAGAGGATACAGTGAACACCGATAAAAAAGGAATTTCAGCTAGTGAACTAAACAGAATTCATTTGCAAATTCAGGTTGATAAGAGATATAAACCTGAATTCAATTATGTAAAAGATGTACTAGAACTATCTGGCTTCAGTGGAAATGATCAGTTTCTAGGAAAGTGGCATTCTACTGACCATCCAGTGAATCCGTCAGTATTTGAGGAATTGGAAATTTGTGCTGATATGTCATGTGATCAACTGCTTTTGTTTGATTTAGTCAATGAGGTCTTGTTACAAATCTACGAGAGATCATGTTCCTATTGGCCAAAGTCGTTAACATGTCGTTCTTTTATCCATACAATGCCTGTTGGTTACCATGTCCTTGGGGAGGTTTGGACTGATATAAACTCGTGTCTCGAATCTGAAATGAAGATTGATCAACCAATTGATGATGCTGTTAGTCGCGATCTAGCAAAAGATGAAACTTGGATGAACCTTCAGTTTGATGCTGTGTGTGTTGGACTGGAGCTCGAGGATCTCATATTAGATGATCTTATAGAAGAACTGATTTTCATTTGACACATTCGGACATTGCTTGGTCAAATTAATGCTCTAGAATTATAGCCCATAATTTTTGGCTGTGGTACGGGAAGGAGAGGTGAGATCTACTCATTGATTTTATATTAGATGAGCAGTTAGACTATGATCGTTCCGAGCCATGGGCACATAGAGTGACACACTATACTCAAGAATGAATTGTTATGCGGTCACTAAACTCTTTCCTTTCTGCTCGCAGCCTATTCGGAGGATCATGTGTTTTTCTACACAGAAGGAATCTTGAGCACATATTTGTTCACAAAATTCTGAGACTGTACAGATTTTGGTAGATTAGGCAGTAAAGCTTGGGGATGTAGAATATTGTTGGGGCTTTTTGTCCTATAACAACAAAGACGACGACAACAACAGCATACCCAATATTTTTTTGTACTATAAGAAGCTGGAAAAAGCTTCTCCTAACAAAGCCAGCAGGGTTAATTTTCTGCCCTTCTAAAGAATTGACACATGTACTGTATGGCCTCATTTTCTACTAATATTTTCTAATTAAAGGATTACTATATGTTACTAGGAGAATTTGAACCGATTCCAAGAAGTTCTGACTCGGGCTTGCGAGCGCAAATTGGATTTTTGGGCCCTGTTACATAAAATATAGGTAAAAATAGCACGGTATAGCCAGTTTTGGGACTGGTCATTCAAAAATAGTCAGCGTTTACAAAGTCAATAAAAAATAGCCACTATTTTGCTGCAACAAAGACCGGTCCAGCATAATATACTGGAGTTCGGTGCACCTGTGTATGAACTCCAACATATTATGTTGGACCGGTATACTTTGCTGACTCCAGTATAATATACCGGAGACTGGAGCACCGATGCTCCAAACTCCAGTATATTATACTGGACAATTATACTTGCTGAAAATCCAGTATATTGTGCTGGAGTTCTAGTGTAGTTATGCTGGAACTCCATTATATTATGCTGGAGTTCAAGCATACTTATGCTGGAACTCCATTATATTATGCTGGAGTTCAAGCATACTTCGGTATAATATGCTGGAGTTCAAGCATACTTATGCTGGAACTCCAGTATAATATACTGACGTATTTTCCGGGTTTTGAACAGTATTTTCGCTCAGATTTATCTTTACATGAAAAGTGGCTAAATTTTGATTACTTTTAAAATTGGGTTATTTTTGAACGGCCAGTTGTAAATCTGGCCCGTCCATAAAGCAGGTAAAGCAACTACCTTAGGCCTCATATTTGTGGAGATCCCTTTTTTTTTTACATTTAATAGGAAATATATAAATTTTAATTTTTTTTATGTGAATTTAAAAAAAAATTAATTTCTTTATTTAACAAATAAAGAGAAGAAGGATTTTTAACTGATTTGATTTCTGTCAAGGAAATTGCATTTGAAATTAATATTGAACCCGGATTTTATAATAAACATGTAGTATATAGGAAGAAATAATTTGAGGAGAATGTTAATAGTGAAATCTCAAAATCTCTCAAAGAGTCCTTTAGAGTTGATTACTTTTTATACATACTCCCTCATGTCCATAATAAATGACTTTTTAACCTTTGATGTGCCCCTTAAGAAAATACTGACACCTAGAACAAAAATATATTTTGACTGAATTATCCTTAATTAAAATTTATATGTTGTTAACTTGACACATTGAGATATATAAATAAGGGCAAATTTTGAAATAATAAAGTTAATTCCTTCTCGATTATATAAAAGGACACTTATTTTGGACCAAAATAAAAGCCGGAAAAGTCACTTATTATGGACCACAGAGAGTAGTAGACAAGGTTATTTTTTCACTTTAAAATAGATTTGAATAATTAGAGGCACATGAAAATATTTTTGGTTTTCTATTTAGCGGTAAAAGCTGAGATCACTAGATGATGGAAATTTGAAAAAATATTGTCTTCATCTTGAATGCTCCTTAAATCATAATAATTAACCCGACATTGATAGTTTAGATTTATTTTCTGAATTAAAAATATTAAGAAAAATAGTACAATTAGAAGATAACAATATAATTGATATACACAATCAAATAAAAGGATTTGATTATTTTCCAAAGGCCTATATTACTTATAAAATAATATTGATAACTCCTATTAACGTTGCTTCAGTGGAAAAAACTGTTTCAAAATTAAAATTGATAAAACCTTACTTAAGATCAACAACATTTCAAAGATATTAAATGAATTAGCTATATTATCAATTGAGAAAGACTTGTTAGGAGAAATTGATTATAAAAAATTAATAATAACTTTGCATCTAAAAAAAAAGTTTAAAAAATAGACTTCAAATAAAAATAAAATATTTTTTATTAATAAAAAAATTAAGGCCCCTCATAAAATTTGGTTTTAGGGCCACGAAATTGGTCGGGCTGCCCTGTACAGAGGAGAAGGGGAACCAATGGACATTAAGCTAGGTGAATCTTAGTAGTGAAGTAGGTTAGTTGCCTAAAATTTCACTTTGTTGTAAAACATATTTTCGCTATTCCCCTACTCCTATGTATAATAAATGGAAAAATGATGGGCATAAAGCCACTTATCCTAACTCATATATATCAACTTGAAAGACTTAGTGGTGGTTTTACCATCACTGAGCTGTTCCTGCATGGAGGAGGAGCATCTAACTTTTTCTGCTATTTCATAATGTCTTTAGTATAAACTGCACATTAGTCTTAGACTTTATTTATTATTCTTAAAACTTCACCAACAAGGCCCGTCTAGCTCAGTTGGTAGAGCGCAAGGCTCTTAACCTTGTGGTCGTGGGTTCGAGCCCCACGGTGGGCGTAGATCTTTTGTAAAATCCGTATCTCCTTTCTTTATTCTTTTTCTCTTTTAGCCTTGTCCTAACACTTTTGTTATTATGTATTGTGGCCTCTTCTTCTCAACTTATAGTGCTCTAAGGTCCTATATACAATAGCAATCAAACAACCCCCTTTATCTCTAGTTTTACATTTTTTGTACATAATGCTTCACTTTTTAAAGAAAAACAACCCCTTTATCTCTAGACTCTAGTTTATATTTTTTGCCTTCTCCACAATATTTTAGTTCTTCCCCTTTCCAATTAATGGATCAATAGTTACCTTCTTGCTTTCCGTCATGTGCTTATGGGCCATATGGCACCTAACAAACTAGAAATGAGAAAAAAGAAGGTATATTGCATATATAATTTCCTCTCTCTTCTTCGCCTTTCATTTCCTTGTAATTTAGCTCAAAAACCTCCCTCCCTTTCTAAAAGAAAAAAAAAAGAACATTGTTATCCCTCTTTATTCTTTCTCTTTCTCAGTCTAAAATACAAAGAAATGCACAACCCCACGTCTATATTCCCAGGAGAGTAGGCACCTTGTTTGAAGCGGTGACACCGCTTCATCGAAGTTTTTTTGTATTTTGTATGTATAAATAATAAATAAAATTAAAATATTGGGTATAAATATAAAAAATGACATCGCTTGCCATCACAGTAATTTATTCATTTATTTACTTTTCAAATATTAACACCGTTTACAAAAATTTCTGCGCACGTCACTGATATTCGCCTCCCCTCCCATGGCCAAACTACCTTTTGCCTAAGAGAAGGGTAGCAACTACCAACATATTGTTAGAAAAATTGAATGGCTATGGAGAATAAAAGGTTAGCTTAAGGCGTGTCAAGGACACTCTTTTTAAGGATATTTCGCCCACACCAAGATGAATAATATTAGTCATATCCCCAGGATTCAACAGGCTCTTCTAATATAACTAGGAGCAGAAACAACAAAAATTTATGAGAAGAAAACCAGCACCAAAAAAATAGGAAGAAAAGTTTTTAAACTTTTTGCACACACTTTAAAAGTTGAAAGCAGAATTATATATAGTCCAAACCAAAATAGACTCTCTGCTTCGAAACGTGCAAGCCATAATGGCTTTTCAAAGCAAAATGACTGTTACAAAAGAAACAGACGTTTTCATTTGAGAATTAAAATGTTTTGAAACATCAATACAATGACTAAATAGTCATTTACTAAATAGTCAGTTTACTATTGACTGAATAACGTCCAAAAAGCCATTAAGGCTTTAATAACAAAACGTAAAACTATTTAAGGCTACAAAATGTCAAACATTCAAATCTCATATATACATATAGGTATTCAAAATCAGTTTTAATATTTCAAAATTGTATTGTACAATCTGTTATAAATAATAAGAGTAATTTGTATAATAAAGAGCAATTAATATTATATCAAGGAATGAACATAGACATTAATTTAAATATTTCTTTTTGAGATATTAAAATATTATTTTTTCTATCACATATCTCCTTTATACTTCCTCATTTAACTACTACTTTTAGCTGATCCGCGACCAAAATGAAGTAACCTAAAAGCTTAAAGTCTTCAAATATCAATTTTTTTATCGGTAAATCCAAAATTAAGACGTTATGGATTCTAAATTAAGATAATTAATTTTGAAATTTATATCAAACTTTATTTATATTTACTTTTATACACATAATTCAACGTCAAAGCTTTTCACAGTTACTCTTTTGTAAGAAACGAGGAGAAATGATATTGTGACTTGAAAAGTTACTGTGTTATGAATTCCACTAACTAATGAAGTACACTTTACTTAATCACATGAATCAGCAGTACTAATAACTTGGTACTAAACTAAAATTTTGGTACTACCTTGAAAACATGTGAAGATGGTACCAAAAAAGCACTAACAAACAATAATTCATAGGTTTAAAATGTATTGATGAAATGATTGAAGAAAAGGCAAAAAGGAAAAGAAGATTTCACTTATGTAGGCCATGTTTAAAAGATTCGACATCCATAATCGACGTAGGAAGTGCATTTTTACCCCACACCATGATTGTAGATAAAAATTCCTTAAATTAAACTGGACACCATAAAGCCTTTTCTCTTTGATTTTACTTTAACTATTTGGTATTTAAAATTTACTGATCGAATAATTTAAATTTGCATAAGTAAAAAAAATTAAGTGGATAAAATTCTCAAAAAAAAAACATTTAAAAATACGAACATATATAATTAAAAACGGAATTTCAACCATCTCACTACGCCTCAATAATTTTCCATTTGATTTGATGTTGCATAAAATAAAAGGTCACTTGCCAAGGCTCAAAAGTTGAGATGTAGGACCCTTGCCAATTACCTTCCCATGTGGTGACAAATAAAGAAATCTCTTATCTTCCATTAATTCCTTTTTTCTTTTTCCTTCTTTTTCCATGTTTTAATTTGATATAATGGCGGATGAATAGCTTCGGATTGGCGTAACTGGTAAAGTCGTTGTTATGTGACCAGGAGGTCACGGGTTTAAGCCGTGAAAACAGTCTCTTGCAGAAATGCAAGGTAAGGCTGCGTACAATAGACCCTTATGGTCCAGCCCTTCCTCGGACCCCGCACATAGCGGAAGCTTAGTGCACCGGGCTGTCTTTTTTTTTATATATATAGTTTAAATTTTTGAAAAACATATTTTATCTAAATGTGCACCTATTATCACACAAAATAAAAGACTTTATAGTCATGAATTAGTCTATATATGGTATAGAATACAAATTAATGATTTGAGATTGGTAGCTCGCTACTACTATAAGATGGATCTAGAATTTAAATTTTATGGGTACGATTTCAGAATCCTATTATATTCTATTTAATTTACTAGATTTGAAATCTGTTATTATTAGTTTTTAATAAATTTTTCAACATACATATAGAATTTAATCTAAAGTTGCTGAGTTCAAATGAAACTGTAACTCCTTTACTAGATCCGCCCTAAAGAAAAGCCACTCTTCTTTTTTTTATGCTTTGCCGAATTTTTAAGAGAATTCTTTTCTTGTAAAGGGGAAAATCTTTCTATGGACCTTAGTAAAAGAGTGGTCTCTTGTTCATTCATGCTTTTGAAGGATAGATATTTGCTTCTATGCTACTTGCGTAGAGAATATTGAGCTCTTTATGGCCACTAAAATTATTCTAGCTTTGGAACACCACTATTAAATCTACAAAGGAAAAAAAGTTCAAAGTTGACTTCATGTCTCTGAATTATGAAATTTTTATCGACATAAAGAAATTGGTGTTAGTATACTGTATTTGGAAAATAAATCATATAAACAGGAACATAAATGAAATAGAAGTTAATTCGAGCCCACTGAATTCACAGTATTTCCTTAAGAAATTTAATCCCCTCCTAGTATCCAAGGTTATGGATTATTTCCTCCCAGGATAGAACGAATTACACACTGGTGTAGTGGTACTTCAAACTTTAGTGTTTCAGCGAACACAAAGTTCGATAGTAAATCACACTTACTGTTGTTTTCTTTTAAGTTAAAACAATGCAGAAGAAAGGAGGAGAACTCAGAAAATTGTATGGAAAATCTGAGAGAATAGACCATAATCGTATAGCCAATGTTGAGCTCAAAACTGAAGAGATGCAACTCTTCAGAATGGTTGTTTATGTAAAACGATCATAACATAAATGGCTATTTACGCAACAATAAACCGGGAATTGAAGAGGGAGGTTAATTTTCAGTTACAAAATCGAAAAACTGAAAAAGGGAAATAAAATGTTTAATATTTCTGTTGGATTTAATATTAATATTCCGTTGAATTTTTGTTAATATTTGCTATTAACAAATAAATTTGGTCCAAAAAATTAATCAGTCAATCGATCATTTGACCAAATCCAAATCTGAATCCGAAGTCGAGCCGAGCGAGCGAGCGACGATGACGGCGTGAGGCTTGCCTCCTTTTTCACTCTTTAAGAGCTACAAGATGAGCAATTGTATATATACCCATCAAAAATCTTTTCCTCTTCCAATATGGGACAATGCCCCTTTGTCAAGGGGAAAACTTAAATTTTCACTTAAAATTTTTATTTCCCTCCATTTTTCATTCACCCTCTTTTAAGCCTATCTAGCTTAAAATCACCTCAACAATCCCCCACATGAATGGGGAATGGTTATATCACGAAAATATGCATGAAAAACTGTGTGATTCGCAAGCAAGGATTAATTGCATCTGAATAAGTAGGTTTCCCTTTGAACTATCCGTAGTGAACTTATGTCGGATATACTCGGTCAATCGGTAGATTTGATATCTTTGAACCGTCGAACTTTGGTATATACCTAAACAACCATAAGTCACACAATCAACCATTAACCGTCTTTGGTTCTCATTGTTGTGTTCGTTTCAGTCATGAACACCGCCTGGTTTCATAAGTGCGTAGAGAACTGACCTGACAAAATTCTCCTTGAAGCGGCTAACACTTCACACTTACATAGGTGATTCCTAAACGTGTCATCCCGTAGATACACTATTCGATATACCCCGTAGCAAATTTAAAAATCATTAAAAAGCCTTAATACTTTATCCTTGGTACTTAACATTGTTTCATCACGAGAATGGACCTAAATTGTAGTTGACAATGTTGAACCGTCATTAATGACTTTGTTTGATCTCCTTGAACCTAGATCTTGGGATCTCCAGTCTTCTAGGTAGAGTTACAGTCACAATGACTTGTTCTTGGTCATAGTCCCGTTCTCCTCAATGATTTCTCAACTACCTCTCTAGTTAGGCCTTTTATAAGTGGATCCGACACATTATCACTTGACTTTACGTAGTCAATCGTGATAATTCTTCTAGAGAGTAATTGCCTAACGGTTTTATGTCTTCGTCGTATATGATGAGATTTACCGTTATACATAACGCTCTCAGCCCTTCCAATTGCAGTTTGACTATCGCAATGTATGCATATTGGTGCCAACAGTTTGGGCCAAAATGGAATATCTTCCAAGAAATTTCAGACCCATTTAGCTTCTTCACCGACTTTATCTAAGGCTATGAATTCAGCCTCCATTATGGAGCGGGCAATACAAGTTTGTTTGGACGACTTCCAAGATACCGCTCCTCCACCAATAGTGAATACATATCCACTTGTGGACTTAGAATCAGTTGAACCGGTGATCCAATTTGTATCACAATATCCGTCAATCACCGCAGGATATTTACTGTAGTGCAAAGCAAAGCCCTGGGTATGTTCTAAATATCCCAAAAGTCGTTTCATTGTCATCCAATGATATTGACCTGGATTGCTCGTGTATCGACTCAATTTACTTATAGCACTCTGGTCGTGTACAATTCATGATATATATTAAGCATCCCAACACACGAGCATAATCCAATTGTGATATGATTTGGCCTTTGTTCTTTGCCAATGCAAGATTCACGTCAATTGGAGTCTTTGCAACTTTAAATCCTAAGTGCTCGAATTTTTCAAGTACTGTCTTAATATAATGAGATTGTGACAATTCCAAACCTTGAGGAGTCTTATGGATCTTAATCCCCAAAATTAAATCACCAACTCCCAAGTCTTTCATATCAAACTTGCTAGTTAATATACGCTTAGTAGCATTTATGTTGGCAATGTCATTACTCATTATCAGCATATCATCCACATATAAGCCAACAATGACTATGTGATTTGGAATATTTTTAATGTACACATATTTATCACATTCATTTATCTTAAAACCATTTGACAACATTGTTTGGTCAAATTTCGCATGCCATTGTTTGGGTGCTTATTTTAGTCCGTAAAGGGATTTAACAAGTCTACATACCTTCTCTTTCTTTACTTGGAACCGCAAACCCTTCAGGTTGTTCCATGTAGATTTCTTCCTCCAAATCTCCATTCAAGAAGGCCGTCTTAACGTCTATTTGATGAATTTTAAGACCATACATTGCAGCTAATGCTACTAACATCCGTATGGGCGTAATTCTTGTAACTGGAGAGTATGTATCAAAGTAGTCAAGACCTTCTCGTTTTCTATACCCTTTGACTATAAGTCTTGTCTTAAATTATCAATAGTGCCATCATCTTTTATTTTTCTCTTAAAAATCCATTTAGAACCAAAAGGTTTATTTCCAGGAGGAAGATCAACTAATTCCCATGTATGGTTGTTCAATATGGATTCTATTTCACTATTGACTGCCTCTTTCCAAAATAATGATTCCAAAGAAGATATAGCTTCTATAAATGTTCGAGGCTCATTTTCTAATAAGAAAGTCACAAAATCTAGTCCAAATGAAGTAGACGTTCTTTGACGTTTACTACGTATTGGATCCTCCTAATTAAATGTACTTTGTTTTGTTTCTTCCCGAGGTCGTTTATATCCTTCACCAATCGACTCACATTCTTTTTTATATGGATATATATTTTCAAAGAACTCAGCATTGTCTGATTCTATAACCGTATTATTGTGAATGTAGGGATTTTTTTGATTTATGAACTAGAAATCGATATGCTTTACTGTTGGTCGCATATCCTATGAAAACACAATCAACGGTTTTCGGTCCTATTTTTACCCTTTTAGGTTTAGGAACTTGCACTTTTGCCAAACACTCCCACACTTTAAAATAATTTAAGTTGGGTTTCCTTCCTTTTCATTTTTCATATGGAATGGATTGTGTTTTGCTATAGGGTACTCAATTTAGTATATGGTTAGCCGTAAGAACAGCTTCCCCCCACAAGTTCTGTGGCAAACCAGAACTTATCAACAATGTGTTCATCATCTCCTTTAATGAACGATTCTTTCTTTCCGCAATCCCATTGGATTGGGNAAGCATCTCTTCGGGTCCAACAGGAGCATATGTAGCAAAAGCTTCCCTATCAGCACAAACATGGCGAGTGGCTCCAGAATCAATCCACTACTCCTTAGGATTTCCCACCAGGTTGCATTCAGAAAGCATAGCACACAAGTCATCAACATCTTCGTGCTTTTTAACCATGTTTTCTTGACCCTTCTTCTTGACTTTCTTCGGAGCACGACAATCTGTAGATTTATGTCTAGCTTTTTCACAGTTGTAGCAATTTTCGTTGAGTCGCTTCTTGCTTGGGTTGCTTTTTGGTCCAGAAGCATGCTTCCTCTTTCTCTTATTTTGAGGAGTATCCTCAACAATGTTTGCTCCCATTGTTGTTGAGTTTCAACGGCCTCTCTTTCAGCAGCTTTGTTGTCCTCTTCGATTCTCAACCGAACAATGAGATCTTCAAGGGACATCTCCTTGCGTTTGTATTTCAAGTAGTTTTTGAAATCCTTCCACAAAGGAGGCAATTTCTCAATCATCGCTGCTACTTGGAATGCTTCATTGATGTCAAGACCTTCAATGAAAATTCTGTTAGTAAAAATACTAACATTACTACTTTCAACATCAGTATTAATTCAATTTATACCTTCAGCAAGGAGATCATGAATAATCACTTGCAATTCCTGGACTTGGCTAATAACAGACTTGCTATCTACCATTTTGTAGTCCAAAAATATCACGACTCCAAACCGGACCGGATTATGATGGCGCCTCTCGTGAAGACAAGGTCAGCCGACACGATTCCCAAATTCTTTGTTTTTAACAATTTTAATAAGTCAATTTAAGTCATTGATAAGAAATAGATCCCAAAATTAAGCGAAATAGAACAAGTGCAGAAATAGATACAGCCCGACATCGGGGTGTCACAAGTCACGAGCATCTACTAAGGTCTAAATGCAATGAAAATCTGAAAATGTACTAAATACAGTCTAAGAAAAACAAGAGGGAGAAAAGCTGTGCTGCGAACGCTGGGTAGCTACCTTGATAAACTCTGATGACTCTGCCTCTGAGCAATCGACACCCGCTACTGGGTTCAGAAAATACCTGCATTTGCACACAAGGTGTAGGGAGTAATGTGAGTATTCCAACTCAGTAAGTAATAAAGGTAAATGAATGTTGAGCAGTAAGAAAATACGTAAATCACGTCAAAACGCTACAACAAAAGCAGGATGTTTCCAACACAATACATAAATGAGTGATAAAACAGTGAATAAACATAATAGAAATATGAACAACCCCTCGGGCAAAACATGTACCATAAACCGCCTATCGATCATAATATCAACAGAACCAGCCTCTCGGGCTACCTCACATTCACTCATTATCAGCCCCTCGGGCATAACATAAATCAAGAACCGCCCCTCGGGCAATAACATGGAACAACATCAGCCCCTCAAGCTATATCACATCTCATACTGGGTACCCGCGCTCACTGGGGATGTACAGACTCTAGGAGGGTCCCCTTACGGCCCAAGTGCAATAACAAGTCATATCGTGGAATAATCAATATATCACTCACTCAGGGTACCCGAACAACATCATCCCCTCGGGCTATATCACATAACACACTCGGTACTGATAACTAGGGCTTATGGTTCATTTTACACTCCTTCTTACTTGAGTTTTGATTAAAAATATATACAAAATAGTCCCAAAGGCTTACATGTTGTACTTGTTTGTAGAGTTAGGTCAAAAAGGTGATAATTAGTCAAAACCAGCTCAAAAAGGAGTGAAACATGCACAAGTACCAAGAACAAGTCCAAGCACAGTGCAACAGGTCCACTGCGACCGCACCTCATTTAGTGCGGTCCGCAGTGAGGAGATTCAGAGAGGTGCTTATTTCAGCGACCCAAGCAATGCGGCCGCAAAGCAATTTGTGCGGACCGCAATGGACTCACCACGACCGCACTCGATATTGTGCTGTCCGCAAAGACGGAGTTCAGAGAGCTGCCACTTTGGAGAATCAATGACAATGCGGTCCGCGATCCTTTTTGTGCGGACCGCAATAGAAGCCACTATCACACCCCTTTTTTACCAACTTCACTAAACCCTCTTAAATTAATAAAAAGATTTTATAAAGCTCAAAAGGGTCTTTAATTAAAAAGTGACATAATTGTGTTTAAAAGGAAATAACTCAGAGTCGCCACCTGACATTGGTTTAGGTGTGCCAGGTCACCGGGTTTAAAAATAATTTTCCTTTTAAAACACTTTGGATTTGCACCAAAGATTCAGGTAAGGAGGTTCATTTGACTCAGGGAGAAGGTGAGGCACTCCCCAAGTCCCGTGAAAGTCACAGTTGCGTACTCGATCTAGTTGGCTTTAAAAACATTCAAATTGAGGTAAAATCACATAAAAGGAAAATAAACACAAAGAAGCTCGAGGTTGTCCCCACCTAAATGAAAGAAAATTAAAATAAGGAAAATTAAAGTTCTTAATTATCCTACGCTACTTCTTCTACAATGTTCGCCACGGCATCCAATTACAGAATACTATGGGTCATTCCCCAGAATAAAATATGTACAAATCATTCGAGGCATTCCCCGGATAAATTTAACTAAAGGGAATGACCTCTCACCTCGAAATCCAAACAAAAATCTTAAGGCTTGCCTACCCAAGTGATAACGACCTAACACATGCTTCTATCATTTGAAAAATAAAACATTACTAAATTTAGTGTTAAATCCAATTTATTGCATAAACTGAGACCAAAATCCATATTTCACTTAATTTCAATTAACAAGAATCTCTTTTTGCCAAATACTACCTCACGACTTGCTTAAGTGAAACAATCAAATACACATTGATAAAATGTTCTGACTGAACTCATTAGAACGTTAAGTAGTTTTGTTCTTCAACACATATTTATATATGCAGGACATTTTCTTATACTTAAAAAAACAAAGATTACCCAAACCAATATGAAGCACAGAAGGCAAATTACCCACATGACAATGACTAGAATACGGTAGTAAACAAACACAAAACATCCATATGAGAAATGATAAATGAGGAAGAGTTTAGAATTGGACCTCAATTATATTAACAAGAACTCGGTTATAGCAAACTCCGGTGAACTAAATTTGACCAGGAAACGAAATAGTAGCAAGAGCTTGGACCGCGAACCACAGAATTAACCTCGAATAGCACCTCAAATCAGCAGCTAAAATAAAACTTCGACCCTCGACGGATCTCCGAATCGAACACTAACTCAATTCTTTCCCAAAATTTTTGCTCATAAATGATTCTACTTAATTTGACATGAATTCAAGCATTTGGACCTTCACAAACACAGCACTATAATGTATTCCTCGACTTACATTTGTACCACCCATTAACTAGAGACCCGAGAAGATGTGCGCCATCGGGTCTAGCAATCACGCAAGTTTTGCCAATCAGAAGAAAGGCATTGGAGGAATTATCTTGAAATGCTGATTAATGGGATGAGGAAGAATGCTAAGGCATTGAATTGAGAAGGGACTGCTGCTTGACTTTTCTTATTGTCCGTTTCATCTCACTGTTATTGTCCGTTAGAGCGGATGTTGCTTCTTAGGGGTGGTCTGCCTCTGGTTTTGTGTGCGAGAAAGATGGGCGCTGATGGGGGGGGAGAAGAAAGGTTTTTGGGTGAGGGTCATGGCTGGGAGGGGTGTTGGATGCCACTTGTTTTTTGGGTTTTTGGTGTCAAGATGAATAAGAAGGCAACCATGGGTGTCCAATTAGGGTTCAGCTAGGGTCTTCTCTCCTATAAAATCTGATGGGGTTATGGGCTTTGGGTTAGTGAAAGGTAAGGGAGGTTAGACTTCAAATTTGGACTTTAACATTGGGCTAAAAATAAATGTCCAAATCTTATTTAAGTTTCTTTTAATATAAGATAAATATGCTACATAATGTAAAAATTAATCTAATTAATTAAACTAAATTATGTATAAAATATGAAATTATTTTTGATATTTTCAAAGATTATATTAAAATAAAATAGGTTCAAAGTAATATATTCTTCTAAAATACCTAATGCGTGAATTAAATAGAGAAATATGGAACTATTTTTTTTGTAATTTTCAATTTTTGTTCTTAAAATAAAGTAAAAGAGTCAAAACTAATTAAAATAACGATACTAGACCTAAACTAAATATTTAAATCCTAAAATATGTAAAATCTTGGGGAGGGCCAAAAATTACATGTCTACAGCTGCCCCTCTTTGACTGGAAACACGAAGAGTTTTCTGACAAAGAACGACAAGACAATTTTTTTGACCCGACCCTTATTTAGAGAGACCAAAAACTAAGAGAAAGGAAGAGAGTGTGACTGAGCCCTGGTATCTGAGCTGCCTACATATCCTTGATTATAAAGGTATCAGGACACGTGTAGTTCAGAAGTGAATGAGATGATGGAGTATACTGAGGTGGAGAGCCAGTCGAGGTGCCGTTCTGTCGAGGTTCCGGTCCGCGGTTCCTGCCATTACACCGAAAATAAAAGGAAAAATTACAGCAAAAGTAAAAAAAATACAAGATCCTATCTACTTCTTGTCTTGAATCTTCCTTGAATCTCTACTTGATCTTCAACATTAAATTGAAAATGGACCCCGTTCTTCAGGCGAGCTCCTGATGCTTCTTGAGTTTGCGAATTGAAAGTAACTCTGAAATGAATTCCCTTGTTCTCCAAGTGGGCGCCTGATTGCCAAAACTTGAACTGTATTTTCTTGTTTTCCAAGTGGGCGCCTGATTGCCAAAACTTGAACTGTATTTTCTTGTTTTCCAAGTGGGCGCCTGATTGCCAAAACTTGAACTGTATTCCCTTGTTCTCCAGGTGGGCGCCTGATTACAAAAACTCAAACTGTATTCCCTTGTTCTCCAGGTAGGCGCCTGATTGCTAAAACTCGAACTTTATTCCATTGTTCTCTAGGTGGGCGCTTGATTGCCAAAAACTTGAGTTGTATTCCCTTGTTCTCCAGGTGGGTGCCTGATTGCCAAGACTTGAACTGTATTCCCTTATTCTCCAGGTGGGTGCCTGATTGCCAAAACTTGAATTATATTCCCTTGTTCTCCAGGTGGGTGCCTGATTGCCAAAACTTGAATTATATTCCCTTGTTCTCCAGGTGGCGCCTGATTACCAAAAACTTGAGCTGTATTCCCTTGTTCTCCAGGTGTGTGCCTGATTGCCAAGACTTAAACTGTATTCCCTTGTTCTCCAGGTGGGCGCCTGATTGTCAAAACTTGAATTGTATTCCCTTGTTCTCCAGGTGGGCGCCTGATTGTCAAAACTTGAATTGTATTCCCTTGTTCTCCAGATAAGTGCCTGATTGCCAAAAACTTGAGCTGTATTCCCTTGTTCTCCAGGTGGGTGCCTGATTGCCAAGACTTGAACTGTATTCTCTTATTCTCTAGGTGGGCGCCTGATTGCCAAATCTTGAATTGTATTCCCTTATTCTCCTGGTGGGCGCCTGATTTCCAAAACTTGAACTATATTCCCTTGTTAACCAGGTGAGCGCCTGATTGCCAAAAATCGAACTATGTTCCCTTATTCTCTAGGTGGCGCCTGATTGCCAAAACTTAAAATAATTTCGAAACTAATTCCCTCATTCTCCAGGTGGGTGCCTGCAATCAAAACAACAAAACAAACAAAATTTTCTGCTCCAGTTTGAACTAGGAAGATTTGTGAGTTGTTAGCAAAACTGTAAATCACCTATGCTATTGATGCAATTATGAGAGTAAAACTAAAGACTTGACTGGGATGTGCATCTCCTGTGAATCAAACCAAGAATATTTGACTAGCAAGTGCGTCTGCTAAGAATTAAACTTGAATGACCTAGACTAGGAAGTGCGTCTCCTAGATTTAAGATTGAGCTTGTGGAAAACTATAAACTAAGCTAGACTAAAGTAAAAACTGACTCTATTCTCCAGGTGGGACCCCTGATTTCAAGAAAACTAAAGATTAATAACTTAAGATAACTAAAGATCTATCCTAGGAGAAAATTCATCATACTAGGCTTTCTATCTTAGGAAAAAAATCATCAGACAAAGATTTCTATCCTAGGAGAAAATTCATCATACTAGGCTTTCTATCTTAGGAAAAAAATCATCAGACAAAGATTTCTATCCTAGGAGAAAATTCATCAGACTAGGTATTTTTTTGGTATCTTAGGAGAAATATTCATCAGACTAAGATTTATATCCTAGGAGAAAGTTCATCAGACTAGGTCTTCTATCTAGGAGAAAAATTCATCAGACTAAGATTTCGACCATAGGAGAAAATTCATCAAACTAGGTCTCTTATCTTCTTTTTTCTGGTATCTTAGGAGAAAAATTCATCAAACTAGGTCTCTTATCTTCTTTTTTCTGGTATCTTAGGAGAAAAATTCATCAAACTAAAATTTATATCCTAGGAGAAAGTTCATCAGACTAAGTCCATTTTTTGTTATTTTAGGAGAAAGATTCATGAGACTAAGATTTTCTATCCTAGGAGAAAATTTATTAGACTAGGTTTCTTATCTTAGGAAAAAGATTCATTAGACTAAGGTTTGATTGGGAGGAAAATTCATCAGACTAGGACTTTTATCCTAGGAGGGAAAAATGCGAAGAACAATGGCAACATTTTATGCGCACTAGCAAGACAGATAAAGGCAAAGATTTGAGAAACTTCCCTTTGTCCGCTCTTCTATTCTTTTTTCTTTTTTCTTTTTGTTTTTTTTGTGTTTTTGAACCAACTTGCTTGCACTGTTTTGTTCCTGTTTCAAACAAAGAAAACTTGTGAGTTTAAAAATGTGGTGGCTAGTTTGTGACCTTGACTACAAGGGCGATTTCTCTTGCACTTGTCACGATCAACTTGGACTTCAACTTGGAAGACAGTGCTTGTTATCGACTGACTGCTTTTTCGGACAACCCTTATCACAAGATATATTCCTGATTCATTCAAATCCAATACCTTATGCCCGATGCATTGCACTCGTGTTATAACATTCACCCAATCTTTGCATTTCACATCAATCCCAGAGAACATTTACTATCACCAACTCAGTGCACACAATATTCTCCTGTGTCTTATGCCAATTTGATATGCTTGCTAGAGACTTGTGTGATTAAAAAGCTAGTAGCAGATTTTGAAATCATTTCTCACTTGTTTCGGCAAAAACAGACTCAAAGGGACTCAAACAAAACAAGAGGAACAAAATAATGGAAAAAACGAGAAGAGATGGTATCTAACAAGAAAATATTTTTACCGAGGAAAAAGAACAAAGTAGAAATTAATACGATTTGAAGGTTATCTCCACTGACCATGACATGCATTTTGGATTAAGCGGCCTGATCTGTCAAGCGAGTCTAATATTTAACTCGTGTTATGCCTCTAAGTTGTGAAACTGGGCTTCAGCGCTCCAATTGTCATATTTGATCCACAATCCTCAGTTGACTTGTAGTGCCCTAAAGGGTTTTCACCATCAAGCCTCTCTCATTTTGCTCTTTTCTCAACCCACCGTCGTCTTACAGTGCCCATGAGGGTTTTCATTGATAAGACTCTCTCATTTTATCATTCTCTCTTGGTGCTGTGAACAAAAGTATTAACCATGATGCAAGAAGATCATACTTTCACCACACACTTGATTTGACATCCTCAAAGATTAGTAGGAAGGTCTTTCTTGGATCGTAATGTAGGCTTTTGGACAGGGTTGGAAAGAATGGGTGACATGAAGGCTCAAAATAATTTAAGATGGAAGGGTTCAAAATTACAACTTTTGGAATCAGTCCTTTTGGCAAAATTAAAACTTTTGCCCCAGTTTCTTGGAGTTTGGGAATTCTTTTTTTTGGATTTTTGCTTTGAGGGGAATTTCTAAGAAATACTACCCCACTCTTGACTTCATGAGATTATGAAATATTTTATTTGGTGCGACCGAACCTTAAGGCTGCCTACGTATCTTGTGGTGACAAGAATCAGGTTGAACGTAGTTCAAACACGATGTTGGATTATTTTGTTGTTTTTCTTTTCCTTTTCTTTATTTTCTTTTTTCCTTTATTTTCTTTTCTTTTTTTTTCTTTTCCTGTCTTTTTCTTCTTTTTCTCTTTTGCTTTTTATTTTCTAGTTCCTAACTCTACTTCTGATTCCAAAAGAGGGGTATGAAACAAAACGAATTAAGGCTCAAAAGGGGTAGCAAAAGATAAAAGTATTTGGGTAGCAGAATAAAATGTCTTCGTCATACCAAACTTTAAGAATGCCAAGTACAAACATGCAATCAAAGATGAGCAAAGAAATCATACATAGTATCTATTGATGGCATCAACACAAACAAAAAGTGTCAATGGGCAATACCTTTGTCCCAATGAATGACTCTTTCCAATTCGAAGCAGACTTGACTCAACCTTATCTTGATGTGGAAGAATACATTTCAGCACTGACTGATCTACCTCAAACTACTTGAGAGACATTTTCTTGTTGTATGCTCTTATCAACCTCTTGATTTCCCAAACTAATTGCCTCAATTTCACTCAATTCAAGCTTCAAGTTATCTTAGAATGCGTGAATCTTTACTTGTTTCCTCAAATGCATCTTTTTATCATATTTAAAACTGTGCCATTGCTTCATGATTAACTAACTTTCAAGACCAAACTGAGAATTATTTGTGCATGTCATGTCACTAGAGTCAGCATGAAAATAACTATAAAAGGAAAAGTGACCTAAACAAAAACTGACTAGAACTAACAGAAAATAGGAGATTGCATTAGACATATGGTGAAAAGGATTTGAACAAAACAAGCAAAATAGACATGGGTTACAACCCTGGAACAATCCTAGATAACACTAGACAAGTTACTACCACTAAACGAACTAGGAAAATAAGAAGCAGAAGG